GGCATTGTGCTGTTTGTCCAAGTATCCACGTTGCGAGACCAATATGAAGGTTGGTGTCCAAATAATTACTCAAATGAGGACTTTAATGGTGCAAAAAGAAAGGTGCCACTTAATACTGTGACACTACCCCCACTTCAAGGTTCAGACTCCGGATGAACTAAATAAATGCTATGGTAAATAGTACCCTCGCTTCAGGTTCTGACTTCCAGGGTGGAATGGCAGGGTGTGTTGTGTGATTGGTATCTAAGACTTTTGCTAGCAGCAAAAAGGGGTGATGCAGTTTAATGACTTGCTCAGGTAAATGGTGCACTTGTGGGGCTAACAGTTCTTGGTCCTAGATGTCTGATGTCACAGACAGCGCTATTGGCTGCTGTTGCCCAAGATAGTGTGCAAAAGGGCTTGCAGTTTAAAGACATGCGCTTGGTCATTCATGGCGCTCAAAGCTGCCAAAAATTGAACAGTTTAACGACGTGCTAAGGTCATTGGTGGTGACACATTGACTTGATCATTGCATTTAAAAGGTAAGGGTTATAGACGCAAAAACATAGTTTTTGATTGCGGATGCAATCTCCTCGGTCTTCGGTCATGATCTCGTGCTTCTGTGTTACGGCTGTCGAGTCAGAAATTATGTCATGATATTGTTTGCCTCCACTGAGATTCGATCCTGTGCTCGTTGGGGGTCGAGCGGGACCTGAGGATGTGTCAGGTGATCTCTGGGAGACTTAAACATCATGGCTTAACCCCTAAGCCACTTGAACGGTGAAGTACTAAGTTCGAATCTCGACCAGTATATGTTTTTTGACATCGATAAGATAAGATTCTATGGGCGCCTAGTCACATGTTTGAAGGTATGACATATTTTGATCGATTGTGATCATGTTTGATCCGTCAATCGAGTCATGATAGACTTTCTGATCGATCATGATCTTGGTTGATCCGTGATCCGTGATGATGTCATACATTTGGTGGCGCTCAAAGCTGCCATAGTGGTGTAGTTTTAATGACTTGCCCAGGTCCATGATGACGCTCAAAGCTGCCAAATGATAGGATGCCCTTGGTCAGAGGGCTGTTCCAAAGATTGTGTCTTGTACCCAAAAGGTTGCCTATGTCTTTTTAGGATTTTATATAGAATAGCTGCCATGTTTGCATTGTTGTACGCAAGTAGATGCGTTCCCCAATGCTGTTCATACTTGTTGGCAATGGTCTCTCGATT